TATACCTCCTATATTGTCTTTCCAGGAGGAGAAAAATGCTATGGCAGAGAGGTTAATTACTCAACCTCTAAAATGAACCACTTGGTGGGTAATTTCTCCCACTCTAGTGTAAGGTGACACAATTGAATTCTAAGCAACTTTTAAGCAGGAACGGTGATGAACTTAAGGCTAACCTGCACTACAGAGTAAGACCATGTCTTTAAAAATAATTAACAGCTTCCAGCTTTCATTTTCTTGATTTTTAATTTCTATGGGCAAGGGAAATGTATCTATCTGCTTCATTTATTTATTTAGAATTTTTTTTTTGTGACAGGGTTCCTCTGTGCAACAGTCCTGGCTGTCCTGGAGCTCGCTTTGTAGACCAGGCTGGCCTCAAACTCAGAGATCTGCCAGTCTCTGCCTCCCAAGTGCTGGGATTAACGGTGTGCGGCACCACCTAAACATGCCCTTTCAATGTGAAAGAGGGGAGTTTAGTTGAGGTATGCATTGAGTTTTGTGGAGAGTTTATTCCTGAGGCACAGTAGTGTTGTTACCTAGTCTCACTGAAGAACTTCTGAAAGCTTGTTTAGAGCCATGACTGAACATGGCTTGGGGTAATGACAAGAAGGAGCAACACACGGACCCAGTTAGTAGACGGGTCTCAGATGTCCCCTTCAAGCTCCAAAGTGCCCAGCTGCTCGAGGCCCTCACATCATAAACCACAGTGTTTGCAGCGAATCTGCGTGTTTTCCCGTATAACTGAAATCATCTGGAGGTCACTTGGAGCACTTACTACAACTCAGCGTTACATAAATAGCTGCTTCAATGTGTCGCTCAGAGGACCCTGAGGGTGAAAATAGTCTGTAGGTGTTCAGTACAGACGCCACCATCATTGACCTAACTACCCAGCATGTGATCAGTGGATGGTTGAGTCTGCAGATGTCTTGGATTGCTATGGAGGGATACAGATTTATAAGGCTTTGTGGTTCTACAGGGCAGGTCTCCCCGAGTGTGGGCTTTGAGTTAATTCAGTTAATGGATTGTTCGTTTCAGACTCCTTTGGTGATAACATATAAACTACCTACATGTGATCCTAGGAAGGAATACACAGAGAGAGTCCTAAGAACAAAATGGTCCCGGGAAACCAATGATTTCCTTCTTGGAGGTGGCTACCATCCCATCTCCAAGTTAAAAAAAATAAATAAAGTTAAACCTGGGTGTGACATCTGTAACCTCACCAGATAGGAGGCAGAGGCAGAAGAATTGTGAGTTTGAGACCAGCCTAAGCTATACAGAAAGACTTTCTCAAAGAACAAATACATACGTATAAAGATTAGGATGGGGAGAAAGAGAGACAAGGGGAAGGAAGCAGAGAGAAAGGAAAGTAAAAAGAGAGAAAGGGAGGGAAGGAGACAGCAGACAAATACAGAGTGTTGTTAAACAATTACATCATCTCTGCGTTTAGTCTCTCTCCTCTGAAGGGAGTGCCTTATTTGCCATCCTGGCCTCTTACTCACCAAGCTAGGGGGTGGGCAGGGGAGTGTGCAGTCCAGTGCATCATTTTCAGCTTCTCTTAGTGCTAAAGTCACTGTGGGAATCATTTTTTTTCTGTCTTTATCCAGAGATCAAATGGGGAGAAAGCTGTGATCTAGTTCAGTCCATAACTGAGTAATAAATAGGCTAGCCATGATTCTACATTACAGACAGGATTTGGGGAGGGGGAGTACTGGAGCAGGAAATAAAGTTGGAAACCCAAGAAACTACCCTAAAAGTCAGAAATTACAATTCTAAATCAGGTGCTTACAAGGAATCCTGGGAAATGTAGTCTTTTAGCTTAGCACGGTGACATTCCATATAAAACTTGAGTTCTAACTAGATGTTATAGGGGGAATAAATACTGACTAAGCAACCAACTTGAAGCCAGGGAGCCCTTGGCAGAATCCACCAAGGGATATTGTAGGGACTTTTGCTCTCTTCAGATAAAGAACTTGTAACCACACAATCCTTTTTTCTTCCTCATCTAACCTTGGATCTGGACTGATGCCAAGAAGTGAGTATCACATGATATACAGTAATAAGCATATAGCGTGTCTTGGTTACATTTATATTGCTGTGATAAACACCATGACCAAGGGAACTTATAAAAGAAAGCATTTAACTTGAGGCTTACAGTTCCAGAAAAAATAGAGCTCATTACCTTCATGGTGGGGAGCATGGTGCGGGGCAGGCAGGCAGAGTGATGAAGCAGTAGCTGAGAGCTTACGTCTTGATCCATAAACATGAGGAGATGTTCCATAAAGCTTACATCTTGATCCATAAACAAGACAGAGATACCTGGGAATAATCTTTGAAATCTCAAAGTTACTGCAGTGACACACCTTCTCCAACAAGGACACACTTCCTAATCCTTCCTAAACAGTTCCATCATCTGGGAACCACAAATTCAAACAGATGAGCCTATGGGAACCATTGCCATTCAAACCACCACAGGGTGGCAAGATAAATGACAGAGGAGCACAAAGTTTGATCCTTGTCGTTGTCAAGTTATTGAAGCAACACTAACAGCTATTTGTCTCCAATAGGATAATGGGAAAACTCCTTTTGGTAAGGTTGCTATGTTACAGGTAGCTCGCAATTAACAGTATCAATCCTAGTAATAGGTTTTTACCTTGTTTTTTTTTCTCTCTCTCTTCATGCATGTATGTGTGAGTCCCTAGGTGAATGTATGTGTGTGTTTTATGCATATGTGTGTACGTCTGTCTATTATTGTGTGTGTGCTATGTATATGTTCTATACATACAGCAGTGGTTATGTGCTATGTGTATGCTATTGCTGAATGTGTTTTTGCTGTGTGTGTTGTGTGCTGTGTGTGTTGTATGATGTACACTATGTATTTGCTATGTGTTGTCTGTATGCCTTTGTGTGTGTTGTGTGAGGTGTGTATTTTCTGCATGTGCTATGTGACATGTTATGTAAGTGTGTAAGTAACTGTATGTGTATGTTGTGTGGTATATGTGTATGCTATATATGTATTATGTGCACGCCTGTATGTGCTATACACGTATTCTATATGAATGTCTGTCTGTGTGCATGTGATGCTAGAATGTAATCCAGAGGTTATAGAAGTTTTCATTTTTCCTCATAGAAACCGTACAAGTTTATGAGACAACTTCAATGAAAAAGATCTCCCAGAGATCAGAAAGATCCATAGAACACATGTAATGCAGATCCGTGGCTGCATGACCCACTGTTTATAAAGAAAACATCTGCATCAGACATATTTTCTACCTTCTCCATGTCTTGTTGAACTGTAAACCCTTCCCCTTGTGCTGGCTCCAGAAAGGAAAGAGATTTTCCACCTCCCCACAAACATCTGATCATTCCTCAGGGACAATAATTGTCACTCCAGTTTTTTTTTTTCTGGCCAAATCAGCTTGCTTCTTGACGGACAGACCTTGACGGACTCCCGTTTTGACCGTTTTTACCTACAGTGCTAAGCTGCTCTGGTCTTCTTCCAAAGCCTTTGTATCTCATCCCTGCACCATATCAAGTTAAAAAGAGGAAAATATGACAGTGAAGGCCCAGGGTTTAGGACAGCCATGCTAATTTTCCAGGACAGTCTAGAGCAGAAAGTGCCCCCTCATTCATTAACATTCTGTCAAGGTTTGAGTGGGGCGGGTTTGCTTTACCTCACAGTTCAAGAGAATACAGTCCACGCTGATCTGGCTTTGTTCTATCTGTTCTCTTATCTTTCCACCCCTCCTCAGACCACACTGCAATCATGCTTTCAAACACACACACACACACACACACACACACACACACACACACACACACACCATATACTGCAGTGTAATCTATTAGTTTTAGGCTGGCTTTGAACCCAGTAGCTTACGGCTTCAGTCCTCTTTGTGTGAACTGTGTATCACTATGCTGACTCTCAGAATTCTAGTTTAGATGAATACAGCCAACAATCATCCAATTAGGCTTTAATTATTTGTTTATTTGCCTGGATCCCCTCTGAACTCTGAGCTCTTGAAGGGAGATGATGCATCATGCTTGCTTCTGTATGCTTGTCACACAGCAATGTCTGATACATTGCATACTGCTTATTGTTTGGAAGTTCATTAATTCATTCATAGAAGTGGTGAAATGAATAAATTGAATTGAAAGCTTACAAGGAATATTCATCTTTCAAGTAGAGACATCTAAAGATTAAACTACATTTGTAATGTATATGGCATAGGCTTCAGTAGTAGAGAGATAGAAATTATTTATGAAAATATAAGAAAAATCTTTATTTCCATTTTGTGGATGTTTGAACGCAAAATTTCTGGTAAGGGGTGAAGAGATGGCACTATAGTTAAGAGCATTTGCTGCTTTTCCTGAGGACCCCAGTTCAATTCTCAGTACCCATGGCAGGTGATACACAATTGCTTGCAACTCTAGCTTCAAGAGATCCAGCACCCTCCTCTGATCTCTGCAGGTTCCAACACACATGGAATCCACATGCATGACTCTCTCTCTCTCTCTCTCTCTCTCTCTCACACACACACACACACACACACACACACACACACACACACTGTCTATCTCTGTCTCTCATACACATACACACACTGTTTCTCTCTCTCTCTCTCTCTCTCTCTCTCTCTCTCTCTCTCTCATACACACACATATCTATCTTAAAGAACTCTGGCAATCTCAAATCACATAGAATAAACCCGTTTTGCTTCTTACTTAGGAACAGAAATGGTTTCATGGCCCATTTAGGCAAACCTACCACATAGAGTGACAGTAACAATTTCTTTTGGAACCATAGCTCTAAGATGTGGGTCCCAGTCCTACCACATAAAAACTTGTAAGTTGTTGGGGTAAAAATATTTCATAGGTCTGGGATTCAGTTTTCTTTGCTTTTTTTCATAAATTTAGAGTGTTTTAAGGGTGGAGATTATACACACACAGCGTGTGGACCAGGAAGCCTTAGCCCACACATGTAAAGACACTGCCATGCTCCAGGGCTTGCTTTAGCATCAACTGAAGCTCATTTTTAGTTATTTTATTACATTTAACCTTTTCCCCTCCCACTCCTACTTTCTTCACTCCTCCACAGAAGTTATCAGAGAAGAACTCTTCCATACACACCTTGGGTGCAAATCTCCACACTAAAGTTCTCTGCCTTGAAGCTGGAGCCAGTGGAAGTCAGTTCCCAACAGATTTACTGTTCCCTGCTGCAAACATTCTGTCTGAACCTGCTAAGGTGAGAACCAGACTCTGGGCAAGTAGTGTGTCTATCAACGCACAGGACAGATGTGTGGTGTGAACATCCCAAACATTCCTCACCTGAAGCTTCTTCAGCTAGCAGACACAGAGGCTCTCTGACTAAGATTTTCAAACAAGAAAGCATTGCACATTAATTACCTTTTCTTTTTTGTCCATACACTCAACGCTGAGCCCAGTGAAGGCTCTGAGACCATACTACACCAATCAGTAGACTGACCTTGTCTGGGAAAAATATATCAACCATGTCAATTTTCTGGTTATGTAGTCAGCTAGACAACAGATCTTAATTGATCATGTCTAACATAGCTAGCTGGGTGTGGTGGCACACACCTGCAATCTCAAGTCTTGGAGGAAGAATGTGAGATTGCAGTAGAAGATGGGCTGCATAAAAAGCTCCAAGCAGCTTGGGGTAAAGAGAGAAACCCCTGTTAAATGGGAGGGAAGAAGAAGTTAAGAGGTGGCAGGAAGAGGAAATAAAAGAATAGAATGTAATAAGTAACAACAAATAGGTGAAGACTGGAAAACTGGTTATGTGATCGCCAACCAGCATCGTCCAAAAGAACAGCCCAGCACTGCCCAATCTTCCAAATATTTTCATGAGGAAAAAAAGATTATTGGTGGTGAAAAAATAAGTACTGGCCATGGTCACCAGATCATCTGTGCCCAAATAATGCTTGGAAGACTAGATAAAGTTTGCTACTTCCTTCCTCTCTCTGTCTCTGTCTCTCTGTCTCTGTCTCTCTGTCTCTATCTCTGTTTCTCTCTCTCTCACACACACACACACATACACACACACACACACACAGAGAGAGAGAGAGAGAGAGAGAGAGAGAGACAGAGAGAGAGAGAATAAAATGTTATAGAATTCCCCTCTCCAGACTAGCATGGCTTGTATCTGAGTGGATAAAGCTTCTGTCACCCTCCTATCTCTAACTCAATTTAACATTGCCACCTCTCAGATGGACTGACTGAGCTCTGAACTGACTTAGCATCCTGAGGGTCTGACATCTAGATGTGGGCTCTACTTTTCTATTGATTTTCAGTGTCCTCCAACACAGCCTAAGCCCTAGCAGATTCCTCAACTCTTCCCTATCTCTCTCTCTGTCTCTCTCTTTCCCTCTCCCCCAACATCTCTATATATTTATAACAGATTCATATTTATATATAGTTATATTAATTCCTGATATAACTTACACCTATTAATATCTTCATGTCTACATTTCTATTTCTTTATATATTATTTGTTTCTGTGGTGAAACTTGCTAACACAGAAACAAAAGGGTGGAATGCTTTTCACACAACTGGTAGAGAAGGAGAGAATTAGAAAACCCAGCACATGCTACTTAAACTAAAGGCTGTGTTCATTTTTTGTTCATTCTAGCAAGGATGGATTCATTCTTCTTGATTTGAGCAAATCCATTATCAGTGCTTTTGATTTCAGGCATTCCAAATTTAGGTCCACTTGGAGCCTGGGAAAATTGTTATGTTTGAGAGTGTTTCTTTCTTTGTAATTTCTTTAAAATGCAAGACTTGAAATCAGGGAAGATTAGAGACCAGTGAGCTGATTTTAATTTTTATGTAGGTAAGTACTGTACTGTTGCCTTCTCACTTAGTTGTGCCTCTGTAGACAAAGAGACTATTTCTGATACCGCATCTCACTGCCAGAAATTCAGTTAGCTAATTTTTTAAAAGGAAGGTAAATAAATGGCGACCTCCCCAGATTGTGAAGAGCCCCGCAGGTGTAGCTGTACGCAGTTTCCGAGGCTTGAATGATTGTTCCAGAAGCCTAGTTTCCCTCCAGTTTACCGGAAGGAAGACACTGTCATGTCCAGACAACTCCTCTGGATAGCTGAACCCTCGCTTCTACACGTTCTTCTGAAGAACTGTTCTTGTGTGGGTCCTGTGAGAAGGCAGAAAACACAGAGTATAACCAGACGGATAGCGATTCATACACACCACATAGAAAGTTAAGAAGATGGGGGAAATCGATCACCTCTGAGCTCCAGTCTGAACCAAGTGACCCTTTCAAGAATTTCCCTGAGCCACGGCTGAGTGTATCCTGATGGACACACGTCCTAGTCTATCTGTAGGATGTACTGCCAGCTCCTCTTCAGTATTTATTATTGCGTTTCTGTTGTGAATTGTCCCCCACAGGCTCATGCTTTTGAGTACTTTGGGCTCCAGTTCATGGTTCTGTTTCGGGAAGTTATTGAATTTTGGAGAGGTAGAACCTAGCTAGAAGAAGAAGATCTCTAGTAGACTGGTCTTGACTTCCATAGCTCTGGCCCCACTTCCTGTCCCCTCTGCTTCTTAGTCCATTGAGATGCGAAAAACAGCCTCATGCTCTTGTCACCAAAGGCAAGTCTGGCCTGGTCCTCATGTCATGTCTCCCACACCATAGTTTGTATCCTCAAACCATGAACCAAAGCACCCCTTTCTCCCTTGCATTGATCCTTCTCAGATATTTGGTCACAACCGTGAGAAAAGCAACTAATACATCTATCTTTTTAGGCATTATGCCTACCTCAACCACGATTCTAGTCCTGACGATAGGACTATTGTGATTCTTCTGTTTTCCTCAACTTGCTCAGAGCCATCACCTTCTTCAGGTAAACTTTGTATTTCCTCCCTCTTGACTCCACTGTTCCATGGCCTTGTTAGTTCAGTTACCACATGTAGTGATATTTCATTTGTATTTTAATAAATAAATCTTTCCTGAAGTTCAGAGAGTAAAACAGCCACACCAATCAGATTTACAGACTAGGCAGTGGTGACACACACCTTTAATCCCACTAGTAGCCACACTAGTTTGCCATAGAAATAGGGAAGTAGTGTGCACACCTTTAATCCCAGCTCTAGGGAGGAATATAAAACAGGAGCAGACTGCTCACACACAGTCTCATTCTGAGATTCCTGGAGGCAGGATCGCCATTTCATACTGAAGTAGAGGTAAGAGCCAGTGGCTGGTTGTTTTACTTTTCTGACCTTCAGGTTGAAACCCAATTTCTGTCTCTGGGTTCTTATTAATTGGACAACAACCGCAGCTACTTATTTCTCCCAACTAAGAGCATTTGTCTTTCCTCATTTCTGTGACCTGATTTCTCTTGACAACTGTGTTGGTCAGATTTTCATTGCTATTAGGCAATCATCTTACAAAGAGAAAAGAATGGTTCTGGATTATGGTTTGGAAAGTTCCAGTCCAGAATAGTGGTCCCCAATGGTTTGGACCTGTGGAAAGAACAGAATGCATTGGGGTGTAAAGGCATTCACCCTGTGGCCAGGAAGCAAAACAGAAAACAGTGGAGCCTGGGATCCCCTAGGGACATTCTTTGACCTTGTCCTAGTTTTGTCTACAAGTTTAGCTTAGTTTAGTGTTGCTATCCTAAAACACCATGACAAAAGCAATTTCAACTGAGAAATGATTTGTTTTGTTTATAATTCCAGGTTATAATCCATCATTGTAGGGTAGTCAAGACAAGAACCTAAAGCAGATTTTCATGTTCAAAGTCAAGAACAAAGCAAGAATTAACACAATTGTTCTTGGTGTTCAGCTAGCTTTCTCTTTTCTACCCAGTCCAGGACCCCAAGGCAACGGTGTTACCCACCTTTAGGCTGTATTTCCCCACATCTATTAATGAAATCAAGACAGTCCCTCAGAGCTATGCCTATAAGACAACCTAATACAGAAAATCTCTCCCTGTTTCCAGGTAATTCTAGATTAGAGATGGGTTGACTTTAAAACTAACCACCTTAATCCTCTTTAAGAGCATTAGTGACCTAAACTTCCCAATAGAACCCACCTCATGAAGGATTTTATCACCTCAAACAGAACCACCATGATGACCAAGGCTTTAACACATAAACCTTTGAAGGTCACTTAAGACCCAAAATGTACCAGCAACTAAGCCATAGTTTGTATTTTGTATATCATAATATATACATTGTAAGCTTGTATTTACATAATAACAGCTTCAGAGGACTAAATGAGTAAGGGCTTCTTGCTTTTCCCTAGCAACGGCTGCAGAGGTGACATTCAGTCTGGAGCTGGTCAAATATCCAGGGAAGTCATGTGAAACCAGGCTCCTTCTACCTCCTGCTCTTTCATCCTGGCATGTGGCTTGCCTAATGATCTCCAAGTGACTCCTCCGCCCCCAGGTACTGACTCAAAATTTCATCAAAACAGAGAAGAGGTGAGGGATGAAGGGCAAATAGCAAGGACTGCCTGGCCCTACCATCTTTCTCTTCCTTCCTTCCTTTCTTTCTTTTCTTTCTTTCTTTACTTTTCTTTCTATTTCTCTATCCTTTGTCTGTTTATTTTCTAAGAACAAAAGCTCCACGGACCCTTCAATGGATTTCTATTTATAACTTTTCTTTTCTTTCTTTGCTCTTTTTCTGTATTCTTCTCACATACAATGCATCCTGAATGTAGCCTTCCCTCTGTCCACCCCTCCCAGTTGCTCCCACACCCTGCCTATCCTCCAGATCCGCTGTTTCTCCATTTCCCTTCAGAAAAGAGAAGTCCTGGAGAGGAGGTGGAAATTTTTAATAGATAGATAGATAGATAGATAGATAGATAGATAGATTGAAAAGAGAAGTCCTCCCAGTGATATCAACTGAACATGGAGTAACAAGATGCAATAAGACGAGGCACAAGTCCTCACATCAAGGCTGGATGAGACAATCCAGTAGGAGGAAAAGGGTTCCAAGAGCAGGTGAAAGAGTTAGAGACAGCCTCCGCTTTCATTGCTAGAAATCCCACAAAAATCCCATGCTAAACAACCACAGCATATGTTCAGTGGACCTAGAACAGACCCATGCAGACTCTGTGATTTCTGCTTCCATCCCTGTGAGCCTCTATGAACCCTATACCTTCTCAACCAGAGTGCTTTGCTTAGCCATTACTACTGGCAAGAAAGTCTGAGCAGGAGACTGGTAAATGGTCACAAACAGTGCCACTTTAAACAAAATCATATCTTCTTTTTCAATAGACAAGAAGAGAATGGCCATTGGGTAGACGGTTTACCTGGACACCTTTGAGTACCAAACCTCCACACACGCCCAACACCTATCCCCAAAGACAATAACTGCAAAGCTTGCCTTAATTGCTTTCTTAATCTTTTCAGAATCTCTGGGGGCTGCCTTGTGGTGGTTTGATTGAGAATGAGCCCCATAGACCCATCTATTTGGATGCTGAGTCACCAGGGAGTGGCACTGTTTGAGAAGGATTAGGAAGATGGAGAAGTGTGGGCTTGTTGGAGGAAGTGTACCACTGCGGGTGGGTTTGAAGCTACTCTAGGCTCTGTTTCTCTAGCTCTCCCTGCTGCCTGTAGGTCAGGATGTAAAACTCTCAGTCACTGCTCCAGTGTCATACCCATCTGCTCCCCACCATGATGACCATGGATTAACCCTCTGAAACTGCAAGCAAGCCCCCAGTTAGATACTCTCTTTATAAGAGCTGCCTTGGTCATGGTGTCTCTTCAGAGAAATAGAATAGCAACCAAGACTAAGACAAACCCTTTTGTTAGATGAGTGGTATACACACACAATAGTAACTGCATAACTGAAGACATGTTCTCTTCCCACAGCACAATCGATGCTTGATGGTTGTTAAACCGAGCCGGACAAGCTGTGTAGCAGTTCCTGCGCTAATTTAGATTTGGTTTGAGAGTGTCTCCCCCGGGTATTGAAATTTAAGATCCCCTCTGAGGCATCATAGTAGTAGAAGTTTGAGCCAGGTGTAGGGGCTGCAAACCTGTAATTCTAGCATTTGGGGGATGAAGACAAGATAATCAAGAATTCAGGGCCAAACTCAGCTACATAAAAAGTTTGAGGCCGGTCTTGGCTATGTGATAACCTATCTCAAAAAATAAAGTAGAGTAAAAATTTAATCTTACTATGATGTTTAGCACCAGGCCATTCATCAGGTGCTAAGGATTTGGGTTAGACATGATCATATTACAGACAAAAATTGAAATAGATACAAATGCTCAGTCTCCTGCTGTGTGATGCCCTATTCTGTCTTATTACACATCATATGGCATAGACTCTTGACTTCCAGCAATGTGAAACTTTCTTTCTGTATGAAGTCTCTCAGCCTAGGGTATCGCAGTGATGCAGAGAGACTGGCAGGGATCCCTCTTCAGAAAGAAGAGCAGTAGAGAGCACAGGGTAAAGACAGCACCAGAGTAAATGTCTGGCATTGCACTACAGGGAAACTCGGGATTGTTGCACTTTCTCCTGAGATGCTGTCCCTAGGACACCCACTATGACATCCTCAAGTCCTGCTCCCACATCATCTTCCTGACCACTTGTCATCCATCACTACTCATGAAATAGATACTGTAGAAGATTATTTACCTTGGGGTCAACACACAGCCTTGGACCAGTTCTTACTATTCTGAATTTGGAGTTAAGAATGTCACTACAAGTTTGTTCTTTAAATATTTTGCTCTACTTTGATTTTGTGTACATGAGTTGGAGAAGGACACATCTGTGCCACGGTACATGCATGGAGACCAGAGTACAAGATACAGGAGTCAGTGCTCTCTTTCCTCCATGGGGGTCCCAGGGATTGAAATCAAAATGTCAACCTTGGTGGTAAGCACCTATGCCTTGCTTAGTGTCAGCTTGACACACTCAAGAGACACCTGGGAAGAAGAAGCTTCGAACTGAGGCATTGACCAGATGTTATTATTCTATGGGGAATGAATGGTTAAGAAAAGATTAATCTTAATCGTTGATTGATTTAGGAGGGCCAAGCCTACTATGAGCAGTCCTGCCCTTGGGAAGATAGTTTTGTGATATATATATATATATATATATATATATATATATATATATATTTGAATGAGCCTAAGTCAGAGGGAACAAGTCAGTGAACAGATCATCCATGGTTTTGTTTGTTTATTTGTTTTAATTCTTTCAGGTCCTCCCCTAATGTCTTTTAATGATAGACCATGATCTATCTGGAAGTATAAGCCAAATAAGCTCCCGAAGTTCCTCCCGAAGGTGTTTTTGATCGAGCAACAGAAAGCTGAAATAGCCTCTTTCCCCACTGAGCCATCTCGCTGGCCAACCCTGTAGGTTTACCAGTTATAGCTAGCTCCCTTCTAACCTTTAGCCATACAATTACCCTAAGAAGTTAATAAAAGTTCCAAGTTTGAATATTTGCTGGAGGCCAATAAATTCCCTGTGTGAATGACCATGGGCAAAGGCTTCATTTGGAAGGATATTTAGTGTGGAGATCCTACCTTTCTCTCTGATCTCTTATCTTTGCAGGGGGTGGGAGGCTCGTTTCATAGCTCACGACTAAGACCCTGAGGTCATTCAGACTATGAGGGAGATGCCAGGTACCATGAAAAGTTGTTTTTGCCTCAGAAATCCTAAGAGGCTGGATAGAAAGTCGACAGTGCCAACTGCTGAGCTGTACACCTCTTGTCTAATTAGACCAGGAAGAGTGAATTCCTTTGTTAAATTCCACAGAACCTAAAAGGAGAAGATTCTCAGCTGGTTTCAAATGCAGGCCACAGGTAAAGGACACATCTCCCACTTCTGCTTGCTCCAAACCCCATCTGCATATAGATCTGCCCTGCAGGAAAAACAAAATTCTGAAGCCGTATGGCAAGGGTCTGACTTTTTCCTACTATTTAACAGTGAAGCTGCCTTGGCACGTGGTCCCCATCCTAAGAACAGAGGGTGAGGAAGTGACTGAATGCTTGGCTACCATATCAAGACCACCAGATTTGCAGCCTGAAATATCTAAGGACTCACAGTTCAAAGACCTACAGCCAGTTCCATGCTTTCCCATTGTATCTGCAGTTTCCTCTGCCAAAGAGAGCATTCTATGTGCAGCACAGTGCAATGCATTGAACTGCAGCTACAGAGGAGCCCCACAGGAGCTCTGTCTCCCAGGACGAGGGGCATAGGGCGGAGTATTAGAGGCAAATCATCCAAAGCTGATACCAGCATCTCTGTGCTCTAAGTATGTGACCCTCTGGGAAGAGCAGCTCACAAACATGATTTAATTTGCTCCTCAAGATAGCTACATATGGCTGGTCACTTCTTTTTATCCCATTTACAGATACGCTGAGGCTCAGGGACCGAGCGGACTGCTCGAATTTTCTTGTCTGTGAAGTAGTAGAGTTAAAACTTGAAACCAGAGCTGAATGATGTAAAAATCAGGCTGTTCCATTATTTTAGTCATTTAATCTATCGTTAGGGTAAAACCATAGCACAAAGGACCAAAGGAGACTCAACGTAAGTCACTTTACCTGTAACGGTAGCTGTGGCATAGCAGTGGCATTATGGAGTGGCATTATGGAGTGGCATTATGGAACTCGGATGAGCCTCTGTCTACCAAGCAGAGCTAGAGCTGCCACACTGTGCAGGATCCTGCAGAAGCTACCACAGAGCGTATGAGAGCTTTGATCCAAGTTGATGGCTCAAGAAAATAGGGAGTTGCCTGAGAGCCTGGGAGAAGGCTCAAGCAGTGAAGTGTCTGCTGTGTAAGCATGAAAGCTAACCTAACTTCAGTCCTCAGACCTGCGGGGAAAAGCTGGACATGGTCATTTGCCTTTGGAGCCTGCACTGGGAGCCAGAGGCAGGCAGACCACTGGGATTCATTGGCCAGTCTACCTGGTGAGTCTCAAGACAATGAGAGATCCAGCCTTTAAAAACAAAATACAGGTGAGCAGTGTCTAAGGAACAACACTCACGGCTGTCTTTTGTTCTCTGCACGCACAAGTCCAGATGTAGGTACACAGCACCCCACACCCACACCCACAGACACCCCCATACCTCACACACACACACACACACACACACACACACAGAGAGAGAGAGAGAGAGAGAGAGAGAGAGAGAGAGAGAGAGAAACAAGCCAGACTCTCTGAAGCCATATGCTTTCTTCCTTAGTCAGGACTGTAAAATCCCTGCCAAGTGTATCTCCTGACTACTGAATCTCCATGGCAAGATCATAGTTTCCAGGTTTTAAACAGGGCTGGGGAAACTGAAGGACATGCCTGACTGGGGTAGCTAGCAGGACCCCTACCAGCAGGCCCTGTGGGCTTTCCTACTTCATACTCCCTGCTCCACCACCCCCTGTGTGGAACCAAGAGACCAGGTTCTCTAGCCCAGGGCTCCTCCATGTTGTCCCACTCATAATCACGTTCACCCAAGAAACTTTGATGACACCTAGGCTATATATACAAAATAAGGGTTCAAATCAATCATTTCCTCACAATGACTCATAAAGAAACTCTTTAAAACAATCCTTGACCATACATATAACTGCCAATTATTAAAGATGGAAGAAAACGTATGTACTAATTAAGAATAGATGAGTTGTTTGTTTTATATTAGAAATTAAATCCTGGCTGAATATCTGAAGACTCCAGGGGATACCGCATTTTCGTTGCATTTTTTCAGAACTGATCAATGTTTTCATTTTAGAATCACCAAACTGATAAAAATGTTTTACATAAATGCATAGTAATAAATAGGAGAAGAATACTTGGAGTCATGCCAGACATTTTTTTAAATTAAACATTCTAATGCAATATAGTCCAAAGATAAATATTGATACATATAGGCTGAGAAATAAAGACAGGGAAATACTGATTGTTTTCTGCTATGTTGCTATAAAGGCAAAAAACTTATATGAACAGTGAAAATCCTGTAATTTGTAGCAGGAATCTGAGCCTCGGGATTCCAGTCACTGTCCCCTGGTGGTGAGCATACGCCAAAGCAAGTGTTCACGGTTGCGTGCTCAGTACCACAGACCTAACACCAACCTGGGCTGGTGCTGCCAAAACCACATCGGAGTCATAACACACATGTGATTTTGCATTGATTTTTGGTTATTGTCCACTCAGAAACCTTTGGCCAAATGTTTCACGACTCCGCGTTGTGACGCAGCTCCCCATTGGGTCCCGGCTCAGTTTAAGAAGTCATGCTCTAAGCTGTACCTCTTGCTGTCTGTGGACACAGGCGTCTCTTACTGTTAGACTGCTTGGTTGGTCGTTTTGAGGCGGCAGCTCTCTATACAGCCTAGGACAGCCTGGAACACAAGATTCTCCTGCCTTCACCTTCAGACTGCTGGGATTGCAGAAGTTCCAGCCCAGCCTTTCAGATATGTGCTCCTACTTTGAAGGTGGGTTGGCTCCTTCCATCAGAAGTTGGTGCGCAGTGCCCAGGATCTCTGTAAACCAAGCCAGACCAAATCCCAGCATGAAGAGAAGGGTTAAATGCAAAGTGCCCCCCTGCCACCTGTTCGTGATGAGTATTGGCAGTTTGCAGCTCCCAGGAGACAAGTCTGTTTTCTCTAACAGTGTAGCCTGAATAAGTCAGCCATGCTCCCATGGAAAGCCGCATACCAAAGAATGTTTGTGTCGCACCATTGGGCCTTGAAGGGAAGACAAGAAAAAAGAATACAATATTGGGTGGGAAGGTGGGTGGAAAGACAAGATGGATCTGGGAGGAGTTAGGGGTGGGGTGATTATAATCAAAACACATATAAAATTCTCAAAGAGTTAATCAAAATATTTTTTAATGTGAAACTTGAAAACAAGCAGTTTTAAAGTCCATTGTGGCTCTACATTGCAGATAGGGCTAGGACCAAGAGGCATTTTCTACAAACAGTTATCTTGACCAGAGTTTTTATGCTATATATACATAGAGATACATAGATAATAAATAGAAAATTATACATAATATAGACTTATAGTTGGGATCGTGATCTCCGAAAGCCCATGTGTTGAAGCCTTCTCCTCTATCCTATTATACTATAAGGAAGTTAACAAACCTGAGGAGCTGGAGCTTAGAAGTTAAATCACAGAGTGTGTACAGGATATTAAGACATCAGCCACTTCCTGTCTCTATTTTTGCTTCTGGTCACTCTGAGGTGAATGGCTTCATGATCTCATGCCCCCTGCCCCCTGTAATGCACTGGCAGGATGCAGGCTCAAAGGCAACAAGTAATTAACCATGAGCTAAAACTCCCAAATACCTAAGTCAAAAGAAACCTTCTCTCTCTCTAGAAGTTGGTCACCTCTGGCATTTTGTCAGAGTCTCGGAAAGCTGATTTATAGAAAAGGTATTAACTATCATGTGTGTTTTTACCTTCGTACAGTGCTGTAGTTTGCAGATGTGTGTCCCAACCACCAGAGGTGTTGGAATCTTGAGGAAGTGTGATTTATTAGGAAGTATTTCAGAGCATGTATCCCTGAAAGGATTACTGAGGAGATAGAGAGAGGGCTCAGTGGTCAAGAGCCTGTACTGCTCAACAATATGATTTAGCCACAAGGTCTTACTTTTTGGGTGCATACTGAAGTTTAACATTTTATATATAATCCAAAAATAGATTCTTTAATTTCATCTCTAAAGCAAATCCTTCCATGAGGTGAAGAAAGGAGAGATATTTTCATAAGAAAACAAGCTTCAGAGTAAGGCTGAGATTGTAGATTCCCCAATCCGAAGCCACACTTCCTGCTGTAAGTGCCCACCCTTGGGTCTTCAGTCCCTCCCTAGGTTAACATAGGTCAGATATAACCTAAGGAGATGTGGGGAACAGAGAGCCAAAAATTTGTTCTGAACCTGCCTCAGTCTATGACCAGAACAGTGATCTTTTAAACTTGGGTCAATCATTATTTAGCTCAAACACCTCCACAGGTCCCTATTTCAGGAAAGCAAAATGAAAACCTCATCCAGGGTCAATCAGGCAGCCATCCCAACATCACTACCTCTCTCAGGAATAGTCTTTTCCCCGCAGCAGGCCTCTCTCCACTAGTCACATCATTCTCTAAGGAGTCTTCAGCCAGGCAGCTGGCCTCATGTCTCCCTGTACTCTTTGTCCGGTCACCTTCTCAATTGCTATTCATCTGTCTGCCCACCTCTAGTGTGACACCCTGCTCATTTCTCTTCTGTCTTTTTTCATTTAATTTATAGTCTTCTATGCAATTTCCCTATTTGTCATTGTGTTGATGGATGATTTCTATACAGGAGAAAGAAATTATTTCATTTTTTAAATTCAAGTATTCTGAAGATTTACCCTGAAATATTGTTAGCAATTTGTCAACAAATACATGTTAAATGAGCACACGAAGAGAAGAAAAATCTGGTCAATATTTAGTATAATTTGTTAAACTGAATCAAAAAACAAATATGAGATAGAATTTTAATTAATTCTTGTTCTGAAGGCTTTAAGTCATGGGTTTGTACATGGAAATCTAATGTTTTAGGAGTCACTGCTGTCATTGCTTTAACAAAGTAGTGATTTAGAGCAGGAAGGGTCTATTTTGGATGGTGGTTTGAGGGTACTCTCCCTTATTGTGGGGAAGTCAGAGCAGTAGAGTTGTGAGGGAATCATACCTGAAGTCGGGAAAAAGAGAAGGCAGATGCTGGTGCTGTGCTCACTTTCTCTGGTCCCCATCAGTCCAGGACCCCATCCCATGGATGTCCATTATGGGAGAGAGGGGTGGATGCTGGTGCTGTGCTTACTTTCTCTGCCTTGCCCCATCAGTCTAGTACTCCAGCCTGTGAATGTCTACCATGGAGGGAGTCAGGTATCAAACACAGGAACAGCCAAAGCAAGAAACCTTCAGATGCTTTCCTGGGCCTGGAGGCAGAAACCAGACAGATGTCTAAGGATTAGAGAGGTCAAGGGTCAATCCTTGAGTGGATGATTGTGGCCATGAGAAGAGGGAAGGTCATTGCAAATGCGCAGGTGTCGTGCCCTGAAGCTGGACCGAGGGCAGGATGTACTCACCCGTGTCCTTCGGAAAGCCCCTCCGGATGGACAGTGTTGCTCTGGTCTCACCAGAGTCTCCTCCGGCTGTCTTGAAACTAAGTCTTTACTGAAAGGTACATCCTGAAGGTTTGGGGCTGGAACACTGGCCAGGCAGGGCTGAGGAATGTTACTTCTCTTCCTGTTCATACTGGAAGAGTGACTACTTCATACTCTGAAGCTGGCAGAAAAATTAAAGTGAAAAATATAGTATTTTTTAAAAATAGAGTCAGTTGGAAGCAATGTTCCACTGTTTCCATGGATACAATGAGCAATCAACTGCCAGTCAGTAAGGGAGTGTTTATTAAGTGAATCCCTCAAGATGTGCAGCCCCAACTTTTCCACACATAAAACCCTTCAGGCATCTTGCATCTGAATTTCCCATGCTGAGTGATCTTGATTGAGAAGTCTGCCTCCACTTTTTTTGAGACAAGGTATTATACTGTAGCCCAGGCTAGCCTGAAACTCACTATATAACCAAGACCAGCCTAAACCTGCCTCAGCTTCTCAAGTGCTAGGATTACAGGCACAAGCCCACATGCCCTTTCCTTCCCATCTCTTCAACAGGGTCTCACCATGTAACCCAGGCTATCCCCAAATTTGTAGTCCTCTTTCTTCCCAATCTTCAGTAATAGAATTACAGGTGGGCACTACCCTTTAACACATTTCTTTACTGCAAAATTTCACAATGTCTTGTATCTAAATTTGTATATTAATCACAAACAGAATCTTAAGTAGTACAAAATACCTCCAAAATTTCCTTGGTCAAAAAAAAATCCTTGTACATTTAATGCCTACTTACTTTATAGGGTATGCATACACACACGGACACACACACACACGTGTGTGTGTGTGTGTTGTTAATTATGAATGCATGTACCATTTTAGATTCACAGGAAATCTGAGTAGAAGGCAGAATTCTCATGCATCTTAACTTTCCACCCCCAGTTGTCCCTATTATTAAAACTTTGCATTGATGTGGTATAATTCTTACAGGACCTAAGCCAAGATTGATACTATTGCTATAAATAAATCCATAGTGTGCATTAGTGTCAACTCTCAGATTTACATGCTATACTTAGCAAATGCCCAATGGCATATATCCATAACAGTGTCATACAACGTAGCCTTTCTTCTTCAGAAATCTTCACTCCGCCCATTCATTGATCCCTCTTTCTCCCAGAAGTCCTTTCAAATTCTGGTGTCTCTACTCTCACCAATATTTCCTTCTGCAGGTTGTCATGCCATGGATTCTAACATGTAGCTTTCTATGTTTGATGCCTAGGCTTCTAACTTAGCAATGTGCGTTTCATTCACTCATGACGTCATAGCTTTTCTTGCACCTCTGAATGCCATGCCATCATGGGAACACTTCGCAGTTTATTCATTCAACTGTTGAGAATTGTTTTGGTTGGCTCTAATTCTGGGCCGTTGGAAATGAGGCTTCATTGGATGTTTATGTGCAGGCTTTTACAAAAAAAATTTTTTTAAGAAGTTCAATGCCTTTGACACCTGAGAGAGCAATTGACAGGTCATTTGGGAGAAATGTTTAACTTTAAAAGCACAGTGAGTTGTCTTTCCAAGTGGCATTTGCATCCTGCATTCCCATGGCAGCGAATCCCCATCACTGTGATATCTGGCCAGCAGTTAGTGTTCACCCAGGCTGGCTGCAAATTCCTGATCCCCCTACCTCAGTCTCTCAAGTACAGACACTACAGGCCTGTGCCACCAAACCCAACTGCTTTATAAAAAAAATCATCACAACAGGTGTGCAGTGGTATATTGTTTCTATTTTCGTTTGCAATTTCCTAACAAAACACAACCTTTGCATAAACTTACTGCTGCCTATTTCACTATCCCTTTCCATCCTTTGCCCATTTTGAAAGCTGGTTTATTTGTCTTTTTCTTGTTGAGTTTTGAGAGCTCTTTCTGTAATTTGGATACAGTCCTTTATCAGCTACATGTTTATTAAATATTCTACTTGTTTCAATTTTTGAGTAGTCTTTCACAAAGTGGGAAGCTTCACTTTAGCAAAGTTTAACATTGTTATTTTTATTAGTTGGATCATACTTAAGGTGTTTTATCTAGGTCTCCTTTTCTGTCATTTCCATGCCTGTTGTCATTTCATGGTTCACACATAGGTCTAAGTCACGCTGATGTCTTTAGCTCTTCTCTAAGCCTCTCACTCTGAGGCAGTTGGGTAGATGCTGACATAATCTCACACAGTGATTGTCCAAGAAAAATTTGAGTCTCTTCATGGAAACTGATGCTCTCAAGGCCACCTAGTTTAACAGTGGGTAAACTGAGGCCGAACACTCATCTACAAAATGGAATTTCAATTTTGATTTCCAATAAAATCTGTTTTCCCAGTGACCAGTAGATTGAGATTTTTAAGAAGGTTTTCACTTACAGATTAAATCCATAGATGGTTGAAACAAAGCCAAGAATGTAAGGAAGTCTCATTTCATCTGGGTCACGTGGTAACCGGGATGTCCCCCTACCCTTATTCTGTGGTCTACTGTCTAGTCACCGACGTTCTCAAAGCCTTCCCAGTGATGTTTCCCTCTCCCCCAATATTCACATACTTCTTCTGCATTGTACTCTGATTCTAGGAGTTTATACTTACTGTCTGACGGTCCCTGGGGTGTCCCTAGAGTATACCTAGAGAAAGAAGGCAGACTTCTTTTGCCTCTAACCTCACAGAAACATCATAAGGAGCTGAGGCAGGCCATCACTCTAATGCCATGTCACAAGTGATGCTATTTCCACAAGAAGCAGGGAATGCAATGCCGTGAACACAGCTCCTCACTCCCCTCCTTTCACGGTTTTCCCATAGGAGAAGCTGGGATAGCTGGCTCCTGCAGTGCAGACATTGCTCTCCGATGAGCAGAATGCAAGAGGAGGTCATCTCTAGAATCAATCACCTTCATGAAGTGAGACCTTATTGCCACTCAGAGCATAGCACCGAATTACCACCTCTGCTGGGCTGCACTGGAGGGGGCTAATTGCTCTCCAAAACTCAATTATCTTAACTACATTATGAAGTACTTTGTTTTAGCAATTAGATGCTTTGGAATGTGGGAGTTAAAATTCTAGTAGTCATAAAGAAACTTTTTTTTTTAATTTATAGTCAGACTCTTAGATGGCGAGGTCCTGGAGCTTAATGTAGAACAGAATGTTCCTACACTTTTATTACTGGCATTAATATCAATTTAAAAACAGAGAAGTTGCCTTATGTAATGAGACAGTTGATTGATACCATATTTCTTTAAGGAAAGAGGGTTTTATCTGAGACACCAGAAATCTATAAAGTCAACTCATGGTTTATCAATTTTTATTGATATTGATTTCTGAAGAGCTTTCTTTTGTTTGAAATAGGTTTTATTGTTTTTATAATAACATTTTTCTCTGCTTCCCTTCCTGCCTCACCCCTCCCCTTCTACCCTCTCTCATGATTCTCATGCTCGCAATTTACTCAGGAGATCTTGTCTTTTTTTACTTCCCATGTAGAGTAAATCCATATATGTCTCTCTTAGGGTCCTCTTTGTTGTCTAAGTTCTCTGGGGTTGTGAATTGTAGGCTGGTTTTTCTTTGCTTTATGTCTAAAAGCCACTTATGAGTGAGTACCTATTATATTTGTCCTTCTGGATCTGAGCTACCTCACTCAATATGTTGTTTTCTAGATTCATCCATTCCATTTGCCTGCAAATTTCAAAATGTCATTTTTTTTCTCTGTGTAGTACTCCATTGTGTAAATGTTCCACATTTTCCTTATCCATTCTTCAGTCAAGGGCTGAAAATACTTAAACATGCGTGGAAGCAGAGCAAACCAGCTTCAATGATTGTAAATGAATCATGAGCCTGTATTGGGGGTTTCTTTTTCTTTTTTTTACAATTATCTACACATGTCCCTTTTCATAGCTCTCTATTTGGGGCACAATTTATTGAGAAATATTTCTGTGATAAAATTTATGCAACATATTATATAATTCAGCCATTTTTTAAATTTTTACAGCTGTCTAATCACCAAACAAATCTAATATTTAAACATTTCTATCACATACCCACAAAGGTTACCTTGTATTCGTTTGACATCTGCCTTCCCTCTCCACATCAAATGCAGTTGCAATACACTTTCTGTCTGTAGATTTTCATCTTCTGGACTTCTATTTTATTTCTGTTATGAAATAATACTTCTATAAAGTTTCACATATGAGTCTTTTGGTGAACATATATCCTCACCTTTCTTCTAGACTCCTGAAAGTGGAATTATTGTATCACGTGATAAGATTATGTTTAACCTTTGAAGAAGCCCTCATGTTACCTTGCAAAGCTTTGCCTATCACTGTATAGCTTGTCATAAATTCTGTTTACTCTTTTCTTGTTTTCATTCTGTGTATTTTCCAGCACTCCTCATGAATTATTCTTTTCCCAATGGGAAACTTTAAAGTATGTTTTTAAAATTTCTAAATATCTAGTGCGTCCTCAACAGTTATTTTCATAGATGAGTCCCATTCTGGCCATCATCCACTGCCAAAACAGACTTCTCTGACCAAGGCCAAGAGATGCAAGTGTATGGATATAGCCATAAATATCTTAATTGCATATTCATTCTAAAAAACATCAGTTGTAAATTCTGCCATAGGACATGTGACCTCCCTAGATGTAGGTTATTGGCCTGGTCTGCATTACCAAGCATGTATTCTCTCATACTAAGTAAGCAAGCCTCAGACCCAATAGGGAAGAGATTGGTTACCCTTAGAACAAAAAAAAAGTCTTTGGGGGATTCCCACACTTGCATTGGAATTTTGGTTTAAAAATCTATGACTTCTCAGCAATAGAACATCCATCCATGCAGAATACTCAAAATGAAGCTCATTATTTAAAACCACTTTTTTGAGTTAGCTTATAATGTAGTAAAATTTGTTTTATTTTTAAAGACAGGGTTTCTCTGTGTCTCCAAGAAAGCTTTGGATCCTTCCTGGAACTAGCTCTGACCTCAAACTCACAGAGATCCACATGCCTCTGCCTCCCGAATGCTGGGATTACAAGTGTGCACCACCACCGTCCAGCCTGTAGTAGATTTTTATATGGCCTTTTAATAAACTCTTGGTTTGGGTCAGATCTTCCATTCAACCCCACTTCTCTTCTGTTCCCCCACCACAGTCCCCATTTAAACCCTCTTCCCCTTACACTCCACTTCCACTTTCCTA